TAATCTTGATTAGAAGTTGAGATCTAACAGATGCACTTTATAAAATATCATGCTGATTTTATACTTAGTAACAAATTTGATCTAAGTCAAAACGTTTTAATAGATTGTTTTCAAAAATACCAAGCTGACTTTTCTGAATTTTAATTTAACAAACCAATATCAGAGAGTAAAAGCATTGACAGCTGTACTTGGTAAAAACATTATGCTAACTTTTTTGGATTTTCAATTTAATAATCTAGATCAATGTATTGGTCAATGCACTTCTCAAAAATATCACACTAATTTCTTTAAATTTTTGTGATGATAATCTTAGATGAGAAGGAGAAAAGCATTAGCCGATGCACTCTTCAAAAACATTATATTGATCTTATATATTCAATAGATCTAAAGAAAAAGTATTGGCATAGGGTGTGGTGACTTAGTATAGTTGGTAAGTTGTTGAACCCCCAAGCAGCAGGATGAGAGTTCGAATCCCACTGGCAACAAAATTCGAATTTGCGGAAATGCATTACAGTAAAACTGTATGACATATTGATCGGGTAAGCACCTGTAACTTTGGTCTCACCAACTCATATTGAGAGGTTGTAGATTGTAGTATGACGCATGAGTTATACGAAACCTGAGTGAAGCAGCCAAATAAATCCAAGAGATCAGGGATACGGAAGTCCGCTTGGGAAGTCCCGAGTAGAGAGGTAGCGCAGATCTTTGACGGCACTACGTAAAAAATTATCATCTAGAAAACTGGACACCATAAACAAACTGAACGAGGACCAAGTGTTTGGTAAGTACTACACCAACCAGGCCGCCAGATCAGCCGAAGGAAAAAGGATTCATTTAGAATACTAGGAAACGCCTACTGGTCCCTTTGGGCTATCTGGATTGGAAGTTTGGGACACCGACGGTTGGCATCGAAGTACTGTTGATAGTCCGTAAAGTAGGTGCTGGGGTTTGGGTGAACTTTGCAAGGGCACAAAGTAGGTAATGGTAGTGGAGGTAAAAAGCCGCAAGTACTTGGTCATGGCCTAGGTGTAAGTTATCGAAAATTTAGGTGATACATGTGTGGGACATGGACCGCTCTAGTAGGTTTATCATGAGGATAAAGTAGTCCTAAGGGGCCTTAGTGGCAGTTCCTCTTTGGGGAGAATATCCTGACAGCACTAAGTTGATCAGAGGGTTTAATTGGGTAACTCAAGTAATAGTGGGTTACAGGTACAATATCTAGTATAGTCCATATGGGTTATATATGCTTAAATAAACAACCAAAAGTTGTACATATGGCTAGTATATATCCTCATTAATGTAACAAAGTCAAGAGTAGCCCTGTAGCTGCCCTGGCATTTGATTCAAAGTTTAATAAAACGTGCCAGACCCCAAAGTGGTCACCTTAATATTAAAAAAAAAAAAAAAAGTATTGGCAAATGCACTTTACAGAAATGATTTAAGAATTCATTGTGTGAATTGTGGATTTAAAGTTTTAACCGAACTCCGATCTATTAGAAAATATATTTAGATGGCTATTAAAATTTAGTGTTCTAAATTATAGTTAACAAATAAAGAATAGATATTAAAATTGATTATGTGCAAACAATATATTGTACTAAACTAGAAAATCTAAAAAAACTCAGTGATTTATCATTACTATACTCAATATAATAATTCTTTGCTACTTTATACTCACAATAAAGTGATATAATTGAAAATCATGAGTCTAATAAAAATTTATATATATATTATAATTTAAATACAATGTAATTTTTAAGTTAATTAGGGTGTAGCAACTTAGTGAAGTGGTGAAGTTGTCATATCTCCAAGTGGTAGAGTATAAGTTCAATTCCTACAGAAGGCGAAAAATTAAATTTAGGAAAACGGATTCGGCAACTATCGTTGTGGCTGGGAAAACTTGAGACCCTATAACTATAGTCATATCAAGATAAAAATTGGAAGGTTCTGAGACATTTGTGTAATAAAGGAGTTACACAAAGGCATGCAAGCCAGTTTAGTTGGTGCAAACCCAAGATAAGTCCTTCAGAATCGCAGAAAGCTACAGGGCCAATACAGCAGTGGGGTGCTCATTTGGAAAGTTTTGAATAGAAAGGTAGCACAGATCTTTGACAGTACTATATGCGGATTAATATCTGAAGAACTGAATAAACTAAATGGGACCAAAGTGTTCAGCAAGACACTCCACCAACCAGACTACTGGAAAAGTAACCAGGAAAAAAAACCTAATTGTGGGGATCAGGGACAAGCCATAGCCCTTCTGGGCTATCTGGATTGGTAGTTTGGAATAGCTGAGATGACTGGGAAACATCTGTAGGTGTATCAGAGTTTGAGTAAACTCTATAAGGGCAGTAGTAGGTAACTGTAGCGGCTTCAGCTTGCAAGTACTTGTCCTCAGACTCGGCATAAGTTACCGAAGAAAACTAGGTAATACAGGAATAGTAGGTATCGAACTGCTCTAGCAGGTGATGCACTTGAGGATGAATCAATTAACTATACCGGTAGTCCTATAGGTGAACGCGACGATCTTGAAACTTGAACTAACTTATATATCGCATATTCTGGGTGAGGTTAGATAGATTGTCATAGAAAACTCAGATCAGAGGGTTTAATCAGTTAATTCAAGTAATAGTGGGTTACAGGTACAGCATCTAGTGTAGCACCTAGCATATAGGTAAAATCACTTAATTAAGCATCTAAAAGGTGCAGATATGGCTAGAATGTATTCTCGTCAGAATGTACTTGTCTGGAGCTCCTTTAAAAAAGGCACCACATGATTCTAATATCTAATAAAAGCGATAAGCCGAAGAGGCTAACCTTGACTATAAAAAAAAAAAATTTTTTAAATTAATTATATATTTGAACTTTATTTATTTTTTTGTTTTAAATTGCTTTTGATCTTATATATTTAATATCTAATAGATTCTAAATTAATGGTAGGTTGGATTAAACAAGCTTTAAATTAACAGGTAGTGTTGGCTCTAACTAACTCTAACTAATAGAAGGGTTGGCTATAACAAATGGGTAGACTGATATGGATAGTTTTTAAACTAATAGATGAGTTGGCTATAACTAATGGATGAGTTGATATAAGTGGTCTTTAAACTAATAGGCGGGTTGGTTTGAGTAAGCTTTATTTTAACAATGGGCTCTGATATATTCCAATCTAGTGAATAAACAAGCATGTCTAGTTGGGTAAGCTTTAAACTAATAGAGTAGATTTTTAAATTAAATAGTAGGTATATCTTGAAGTAACAAGTAGGTAGTTTCGTAATAGTAGGTGGATTAAACAGTTTTGAATTGGTAAGTTCTAAATTATTTTTGAGTAAAATCACAAACAATACTAATATATAGTATAGCAGTATAATGTATATGTTGTGCCTCAGACCCCTTCCTGTGTCAGATTACAGCTGACGCACCTCAGATGCCGATTGTCACATGAGGTGTGTGATTTGCAAATCGGTTACCTGAGGTGCCTTATTTGTAAACTGACACAGAGCTTCGATTTATATTAACTACTACTCAAAATTGTCCTGGCAGATCTTCGATTTTGATTCGCTAACGGCAGTGGATTTGCAAAATTTTGACATAATTGTACTAATTTCTTGCCAGAATTATCTTTTTTACTTTCATTCCAAAAATAAAAATTTTCAAATAAATAAGCCCGCACAATAATAAAATTAGCCTAGAAACAATTTTCACTTAATGGGCAGCTATGATTTCATTAGTAAAATTTTGAGTAATTCCGGCCAAATTTTTTGATCGTTGCTTTTAGCCAATTGTTGCAACAGCTAGAGTTAATTCAATATATAAAATATATACTTCACCTATCATAATATATTTATCCAACCGAAAGAAAATAATAATAAAAGAATAATTGAATAAATAGTAAACAATATTAATATTTATTTATTTATTTATTTTCATTAAAACTTTACATATTTTAAACTAATTCCTGTTTGAACAAGATCGACCAGCATGACACTTGCTTGTGCATTTCGCTTCAGCTTTTCTACATTTACACCTATTAGATTCATATAAACCCTTACAATTACAAATAGAATTCGATACCATTCCAACACTTTGGAGTCTTGCAGCCTCTCTAACGGATATTTGATCTGGTGGAATCATATTGAGTTCAGAAAAAGTGGAAGTTCTAAGTTCTTCGAGTTCATCTGGTGAATAAGATATATTGATTGTACCAAATCTACATCCTAGCCGGAATTGTTACTTACCTGGTTCACCTAAATTTTACAAGGCAAAAAACAATCGATTAAATAATTAATTTAATATTTACTTGAATATAAAATTACTTACCAGTTACTTCTAAAATTTTACAGAGCAAGGAGGGCCGATCAGTACTAAAGCGATCAATTCTTGAAATGCTTATTCGAACCAGATCATTGACCTTAAAACTATTTAACTTCCTTTTTTTTAACATCTGTATCGTCATCTTTTCAGTATATATTTGAAGGTCTTTCTGGACCATATTTCGCAGAATTTTATGTGGTGTAGTGATAGAGTTTTGGTTTGTGATATCAGTAAGAACTGAAGGAGAATTTGAGTCCTGATTCATAAGATTAGTAGAAGCCAAGATAAATAGTTGACTAGCATCGTTATTACTATCATCATTATTAACATCATCAACAATCAAAAAGTTATTATGATTATTGGATTGGTTTGGATCACTGTCTAAAAAACCATTAGTCCCAAAAATATTGTTAGTAAGATAAAAGTAAATAAATAAAATAATAAATCAAAAATAAAAGCTTGCCTTTCATATCATCGTCCAAGTTTATTGTCCCATCACTTTCAATTTCAATTGTACCTGAAATATTCTCTTCATTATAAATGCATTTTGCATATAAATCATTTACCAAGGTGCAATTTCCATGAGGCTTACTACTGTAGACAAGTTCATGTAGCGTTTTTTTATGAGATTGGCACCAAGAATTATTCATTGCTGAAACAACAAACTTCAAGCCAAATGACTAGTCTGTTCAACCCGTGTTTTCTTGCCATTTTCCTAATTTTTTGCTCCAAGATTCTGTTTGCATGTTCAACAAGACCTTGCAACTGGAGGTGTCTGGATCTTCTGTTAATGATTGTTACTGATGGCCATAATGCAACAAGTTCTTTAATAACTTGGGCAACAAATTTTCGTCCATTATTAGACTGCAGGATCAAATGACATATCAATAAGGTTCATCTATCAGATAAAAAAAAAAAAAAAAAAAAAAAAAAAAAAAAAAAAAAAAAAAATTTAATTTATAAGTACTATTTAATAAATATAAATTACCTAAATATTTACCTGAACGCAGGTCAAAAAGTTTTTCGCAATTATCGGTCTAGCTGCTAAGGTGTGAAATGCTGGTTTTCTAACTGTGCATACTGCACAATTATTCACGAATTTTTCAACTAGATCTTGCTTAACTCATCTCCATCTTTTGTTTATAGATTTCCAAGTTTGTTTCTGCCCGCCATGCTGTGTGACTTCATCGTGAATTTGACAAAAAACTTCATAAAATTTTTCAACAATTAAAACCGGGTTACCAGTGGCTTTCACAATTACTCTATGATCTCCAGGTGTAATTTCTTCAAGTTGAAATTTTTTCTTAGCTCAACAACAGGTATTTTTATTATAAAGTGAATGATCTTTAGGGTTTAATAAAATATTCTTTATTTTGGTTAAAAGTTCATGATTAATTAGAGCTTTCTCTTGTTTTGATTCTGAGAGGTTTTGTATATAATTGTCTAAGATCTCATCTAAAGTACTTTTACTAATGAATGTATATTCCATTCTAAAGGTGTTAAAAATTAAGCAGATTCAAAAAAATCAGAACAAAGGTTAAAATGGCACAAAGAGCCCAGAAAAGTATTAATGGCACAACAGAGCCCAGAGAAGTAAAATAGCACAGAAATGTAAGACAGCACAAAAAAGCCTAGATAATATAATAACAAAAGTAAGATGGCACAAATAGTGCTCAGGAAGATGAGATGGCACAATAGAGCCAAGAAAGTAGGACAGCACGGAGCCAAGAAAGTAAGACGGCACAAAGACAAGAGATAAGACGGCATGAAGCCAAGAGAGTAAAGAGCCCAGAAAAGTGAAATGATACAACGATGCAAAATAAAAGAAAAGCGGGATGACATAAAAAGCCTGAAAAGTGTAATATGCAAGAAATAAGTATGACGAAAAGAGCTAAAGAAAGTGAACAAACAATACAAGAACCTAATTCAAGAAATTTATATCCTTCATTTGAACTCTGACTTAATTATACAACCAAGTTATATTTTGTGAATATGTCTTTGAACGATATACTTAATGATTTTCTATGTTCAATTATTTTGTGTCAGATTATAAATGAGGCATCTCAGGTAACCGATTTGCAAATCATGCACCTCATGTGACGATCAGCATCTGAGGTGCGTCAGCTGTAATCTGACGTGTGAAGGGGTCTGAGGCACAACATATATACGTATATAAAAAATACTTTATATTTACAAATTGAAATTTTTATTAATTAATTTGCGTCACAATTACTTAGTAAATATAGATCATTTTTTCTGATTGACTCATAGATTATCAATTAATAAAATTTTGTTTAATTTAAAAAAATAAAACAAAGTACCATTGATTTTATATATAATTTATAAACATTACTCTCTATCTTTAAGCTTTTAGTATTCTTAGCAACAATCTATTACTACTACTTGTTTCCAAAATAATTTTCTGATTTGGATATAAATATCTTAAGAAGTTTGTTAAGAAGAAAGTTTGACTTCAAATAAATTATTTAAATTATATCCACTTCTTGATATTTTATATTTATCTAATTTTATTAACAAAAACTACTCAAAATAGAACTTAATCAACTCTTTTCAATAATCTTTTGATTAATAACAACAAAACTGAACTACATCAAAACTATATAAAAAAACAACAAAATAGATATTAAACTTAGTTTTATAGATATAAGCAGCTTGTTGTCAATAAAATTTAAGCATGTAAATATAATATACTGTATATCTGTGGCTAAAATATTTTAGTTATTCAGCTACTTAGTAAATGCTTAAAGCAAATTATCAATAATTTTTAAAAATGTAATAAAAATTAGACCTTATATAGAATAAACCAGATTTATAGTATTTTGACAAGACCTTTTAATATTTTAGTAGACTTTGGAAGTTTTAGCTATATATTAAATACAAATTGCTGAAAATTTCAATGCTTGCCAAAATACTAAAAAGTCTTGCAAAAATACCAAAGGGTTTGAATAAAGTTCTGCAGATCTGGTTTAATCTATATAAGGCCTAATTTTTATTATATTTATAAATTATTGTGTCAGATTAAAATGAAATCAGATTTTTTATTTTTTAAGAAAAATTTAAAAATTTTTGAGGATATTTTTTAGGGTTTTTTTAATATTAGGATAGAATTTAGAGTTAAAGTTATTAAGAAAAGAGTATATATAATTTTATAAGCTTTAAGAGTGAGCAAGAGAGGTTTTCAATTTTATTTTAATTTGATTTTATTTTAATCTGTGACAATTATTGATAACTTTGCTTTAAATATTTATTAAGTAGCCAAAATAGTTGAAACATTTCAGCTACATATATAATATATTAAGAAACAGTTATCAAAAAACAATATGGATGATTTGTTTTAAGGTTAAGTTTTCTCTTTAACAGACTCTTCAAAATATTCAACATCTAAATCAGAAAGTCTATTCTAAGAACAAGTTTGTAAAAGTAACTAATATGCACTTTCAAGTTAGTAGAAATAGAGAAGTTGAATTATATAGCTATAAAACTTACAAGAAGAACTTTACATACTCTTATTAACCCACCACTTTCTTTTTAAAAAATTTTTATAAAAATTAAACATTTTAATTTACTTCTCTAAATGATTAACATCTCTATACCAAAATAGTTAATATTATTTATCTTCTAAATTAAATAAAACATAACTAGAATAGACTACCAACCATATCAGTCAAGGGACATGTCCTTTAACAGGGGTTTCCATTGCAGTTACTTATAAATCAAATGAGTTGACACACTAA